ATATGTAACGTGATATAACGAATATGTAACGTCATGTGACGAGTATGTAGCGTGATATAACGGATTCGTAACGTGATGTGACGAAAATGTTACATGGTAAAACGAATATGTAACGTGATATAACGAATATAAAACGTAATGTAATAGTAAAGAATAAAGCACATAATATAGGGGATGAACAACACAATATAGCAAATGCAGACTGGGCATTGATGTCGATAGACTTTCTTCAGAATCTATTGTAGTTACAGTAGTTTGACACAAACCATCATACCAAATACTGATTAGTCCACGTGTTATCCAGAGATACAATACTATCCTTTCCTGAAGCTATGACGTCATTTTAAAGTTGATTTCTATCTGGTAGAGACGTGTTCATGGTCAATTTCAGCGCAGTAAAACTGAAATATAAATGGGCACCAGAAAACAATCAAATTTCCATTTACAACCACGATCAATAGCTCAGAACAACCTCATTGCTTTAAAGCTATATTTTAAAGTTGAATGACTATGGAGTTAACCACGACCTTGCATCCATATGTTTCGTATGACAGTCCGCTAGTATAATATGCATTTGTGAGTCTTTTATTCACTTTTCCGAGCTTTCAATGACGTGATTTGGTATGGCAATAATATCAGTCATATTTCCAAGCAATATTCACATTACTTTGCACAATTTTACATGCTGTTTTCAATTGAGTGATATGGAAGTTGGCGAAGCTGCATGAAAATTGTACACATGTTGTTTTTATATCAAATAATGTAGTTGAAAACTCGAAATTGTGAAACATGTCGCAACCAAGTTCACCAACGTGTTAAAAAAAGTCCAAACGTGTTAGTAAACGACATAAAACTAAATAAATAAAATTTCAGGTGAAAAATTATGTAAAAACAATATTTAAAAATGCAGATTTCACTAATTTTCGTGATACAGTTCACGAGGAATAGAGTATTATGATTGCGTTTTTCATTAACATTTTAACAGTGCAGCAGTTCATAAAAAATAACGTTCACGTTATGTACCAAAGCTGAATTTAAACAATTTGACCACAATTTAAAGATAGAACTCAATAATTGTCAGCGAAATTATTACGCATCGAGAAAAGAAATAAGACTTTAAAATGTCATTTCCGAAAAATATATAAAATATTTAAAACCATGTTATAATCGTT